AGAAATGAACAGACCAGCAACAGAAGTCAACCCAACAAAAGGCCAAAGCATGTATGTATCATTCTTCTTCTTTTTCTTTCGGCTTTGTCCCTTTTTTTCCAAGGGTTGCCACACTAAATCACCATTTTCCATTTCTCCCTGTTCTCTGCATCTTCTACTATGACTCCAACTATCTGCATGTCCTCCCTCACTGCATCCAAATACTGTATGTCCTCTTTGGCCTTCCTCTCTTTCTCCTCCCTGGTAGCTCCATCTCTAGCATTCTTCTACCAATGTATCCACTGTCCCTCATCCACACACGTCCAAACCATCTCAATCTGGCTTCTCTAGCTTTTTCTCCAAACCTTCCTGTCTGTGTTGTCCCTCTAATGACCTAATTCCTGATCCAGTCCATCCTTGTCACTCCTAAAGAGAATCTTAGCATCTTTAACTCTGCCACCTCCAGCTCCGCCTCTAAACCATACATCATGGCTGGTCTCACCACCGTCCTGTAACCCTTAGCTGACACTCTTCTATCACAGATCACTCCTAACACTTTTCTCCAGCTGTTCCATCCTACCTACATTCTATTCTTCACCTCTCTGCCGCAGTCTCTGCTGCTCTGAACAGTTGATCCTAGGTACTTAAACTCCTGCACCTTCACCACCTCTGCTCCTTGTAGCCTCACCATTTCACTGTTTACATGTTGTCGAACAAATGCAATTTTTCTACATGGCAAACTCTTTTCTCTGCGCCTTTACACATCGCCATTTTGCAACCATAACAGTCCGCTATTACCGCTTCCTTCAGCTTTTAAAGGGCACGGATGCGCCTCGTTATCCAATCACAAGCGTCCTGCACGACACCAGGTGATAGCTAATTAGTATCATTACTTTATAATTTATTATACCAAAATGTGACTATACTTTGGCCATATCTATACATTATTTGAGTTATTCATCTGACTTTCGTCTGATTCTCATCTGTGAATTTTAGCCTTTGTTTTTCTAGCTGCCACTGCCCGGGGCATCTGTTCATATCTTCTGCCCCTGCAGTCCGTTTACTGTACAGTTTGAAATGTTCATTGAGAGACGTTTTGTTAGATACCTTGTTACCTCCCTCTTGCCTACTCATTCTGACATCTGCACAGGCGGCGACACACCCCTGTTACCCCTTTGGTAGCTATTTCTACACACCCGAGGAAGAAGATGTACAGTATGTAGTTGCATTATCAACAGTCGTCCACGTGGAGGCATCCTTCATGTCGTTGAAATCTAACATGAATAGTTACTATCGGTTGTTTTTATTGTCAGCAACATTTTTTTTTACTAAAATCTCTATTTTCAAACAGTTTACATATTTTTATTCTTTTTTTAGAACAAGTCTTAAGAAATTACGACTTTCCCCCTCTCTTTTTGGTTTTACCTTTTTTGTGCTTCCGAGTCGCCGTACGAACTGGACGTGCAAACTGAAATCCCCACAATTCACTGCGTCAAACAGCAGGAAGTGCCCTGACAGTAGAACATCAAGGTTTGTGCGTTTCTCCGTTTTATATCTTCACCTTTCGTATTGATGTTGATGCAACAATTACACTGTTAAAGTGAGGGAAACATCTAAACAGTTATGTTATTAGGTTTGTTGTTTTCTTGACGTTAAGGCTAACTAATGTTAGCATCACATCGTTAGTCCACACCTGGCAGTGTAGACTTTGTTGACAAACGTTGTTACATGTGTGATGTTTTTGAGTTGTACAACTATGTAACGTCGTTTCTTGTGGATAATTTGTAGTACATGTATAAATCAACACAAACCGGCTTCAAGGAACCCGATAGCTTCGGTACCTTTTCTCCATCCTTCAAACATGGAGCTTTTTGAAGAAAACAAAAGTCAAAGCTGGTGAAACATTTAAAAATTACTGTTTAAATGTGAAGATTTTTGAAAGCAATTTGAGTCACATCAATGGAAGCACGCCTTTATTGTAGATATTACTAGTTTATAGTTTAGTTTAAAGACCAAATATTAAAAATAAGCAGGAGCAATTAGAAAAATAACCACAATTGTCATTTTCTTAACATATTTTGAGAATTTGATTTTGTACATTAATACCTTACATAAATACAACTTGCAGTCAGAAGATTACCGGTCATGGAGCGAGTGCTGACAGGAGGGATGATGCCACTGATGTTGGCAAGTGTTGGGGTTTTGGTTTTATATCGAGTCCTTGCACGCCTCAGATCGGTAGTTTCTCTGCAGGATGCTGTGGTGGTCATCACAGGGGCCAGCTCTGGACTGGGCAAAGGTCAGGCTCCTCTTTTTGTTTTACGCTTTTCACCATTGGTTGGACCATTTCAGGTGCTAGCATGTCCTATCTTTGCTTTTGACCATTGGTACATTTCAGGTGCTAGCATGTCCTATCTTTAAACCAATCAATGACTTGTTGTGATTTGTCTTCACAGAATGTGCACGTGCCTTTCATGCTGCCGGTGCACGCCTGGTGCTATGTGGTCGTGACGCAGGCCGGCTGCAGGAAGTGGCACAGGAGCTCACAGCGAGGTCAGCAGACACACAGAAGAAGGTAGTTACAATTGATTAATTAATTTGAAAAGAAGACTTTTTAAAAAAACAACTACAGTTTTTAATATTGACAATACTGTGGTGAGATCATTTGTTAGTGTAGGTGTAAAGCCAAACCATTTTGGATACAAATGAACAGAAAGGATATATCCACTGTAGAGCATGGTGGTGTAGCAGCTTGGTCTGGGGTTATTTTTCTTCAGCAACAACGGGGAATTTGAATTTCAAGGACATTGTGCTTTAATACTGTTCATACTGAGTTCACTCTATATTTGTGTGCAGTCATTTATTCATTTTTTTTCCTCTTTCACCTTTAGACTCACCCTCCCTGCACTGTGATCTTTGACCTGGCCAACACAGACACAATGGACAGAGCTGTAGAACAGATCCTTAAATGTCATGGACGAGTGGATGTCCTCATTAATAATGCCGGAGTCAGTTACCGTGGTAACATACTGGACACCGATCTCTCTGTGCAGCGGAGTGTTATGGAAACAAACTACTTTGGACCCATTGCTCTGACACAGGGTGAGTGACAGATTCATACTTGAAAAAGAAGAAGTCTTATTATTTATGCAGGATCTTTCCTCTATCACAGCTCTGCTGCCTGCCATGGTTAAACAACGTAGTGGTCACATTGTGGTAATCAGCAGTGTTCAGGGCAAGATCGCCATCCCATACAGATCAGCCTGTAAGTTTGGTCTAATAAATTGTAATTAAAAAAAAAGACATTTAATGTCTGCCAGGATGAAATTAACATTGTCTCTGTATTTCTTTCAACACTGTTTAGATGCAGCCTCTAAACACGCCACCCAGGCCTACTTTGACTGTTTACGTGCAGAAATAGATCACTACGGGATCCCAGTCACTGTCATCAGTCCTGGGTACATCAGAACCAACCTGTCAGTGAATGCTGTCACTGGAGATGGATCCAAGTACGGAGGTGAGAATGTGTGGAAACTAGTTTCAGATGTAGTAAAAACAAACAAACAAAAAAAAGATGTTAAATATACAAAGTTTTCCAGCTGAAATCCTTGAAGATCTCCTAAAGAAACAGCTAAAAGATTAAAACATAAGTACATGAAATGTTTAGGTCATCAGCCTAGCAACGCTGAAATGAAACCAGTACCTAAGCAGTGTGTTTGGAA